ATCCAGCAGAGGAGTGAATTTAATTGCTGTATAAGATGTGAGGCTTTGAACTACACTTAGATCATCATTTTAAGCTACTTGACTTGTGCCACGTGGGTTGAAAATTTCTCTTGTGCTTCGGAAATTCAACTTGGTCTTCTAATCCCTCGTTCCAAGCAACTGGAAGTGTCTAGAGGAACGTTTGCCCTGCTGAGTTTTGTTTCATTGGAAAACAAAAACGAAAACGAAAACAAAAAGCAGACCTGGGAATATTTCAAGTCCCAGGCAAGGAGCAAAAGGGTGAAATTAAGAGTTAAAAGACACTAGAAACAAATGGGAAAAAATGTCTTTATAAAGAGCAAAATCCCCGTCCGCGGTCAGAAGACGCTGGGCAGGTGTCTCCTCCCGGAGGGATCTGGGTGGAGTGGGTTCCACATTCCCGTTCCTTTCCCCCCACCCTGCCACGGGGAAACTCCTCGAGCCGTTGGGAATCGGTGCCTCTGCCTCCGGTATTTTCGTGCCAGGCGGGCTCCGTGGGTGATTCTCTGCTCCAGTTTTCAAGCAGAACTTCTCACAAATTGACGGGGGAGGTTTTGGCACCTCCGCGGGAGGAGCGAGAGCGAAGGGGATGGAGGAGGAGGAGGAGGAGGGGGAGGAGGAGAAGCGAAATGGGCTTTAAAACCCCATAAAATTAGCATTTCAAACGGCGGCAGCTTTTCCTTGCCTGGCCTGCTGGTTTTAGTGTCACCCCCTTCAGGATCCTGAGGGGTGGCCAAATATATTCCCGGTGTCCCGGAGCTCCAGGGAAACTGCTCTCGCAACCGAAACCTCAGGAAAAGTTGAGTGCAGATTCTCCCTTGCGTCGAAATCTCCCCAGTCCTTGAGCCAATAATTAAAATAAATAAAATCGGGACTAGAACACTTTTAAAACCACCCAAGGATTTTTCCAGTGCATGGATTTTTAGGCCTCGAGGTCTCAGATCATCACCTCGAGTTTTAAACCTTTAGCTGAAGTTTTTAAGTTAAGAGCTGCTTTTCTTGGGGTTGGTTTCTTTTCCCCAGACTCACAATATAGTCGGGAGGGGTAAAACTCAGTTCCTGTGCAATTTTAGTGCTTCCCCGTTAGCTCAGGGTTTGGAGCTAATATAGAAAATATGAGTATAACGTAGTGATAAAATGTGATATATAAAATATAACAATAAACTATAATATTAAAAACACAGTGCGCTGATAAAATAAAAATATGGGAATGTAGAAAACTAATATAAAAATATAGAAAATTATAGAAATGTAGGAAACTAAATTTAGAAAATACAGAAATATTGAAAATATAGAAATATAGGGCACTAAATATAGACTAGAGAAATATTTAGAAATATAGAAAATATAGAAAAATAAAGTTATAAAATACAATATAACAATAAAATATAATATATTAAAATGTAATATATAAAAATATAATATACAAAAATATAATACACAAAACTATAAAGATATAATATAATTATAACATATAATATAAAAAATATAAGAAATCTTATTCCTGCCACCCTTGTGGAGGTTCCTGTGCTGGTGGGTTATGGGAAACACAAGCTGCTGGAGCTGCACACCAGGACCTTCCCAGAGTTGCCTTTCCAGAGGAGCAGGACCTGACAGCAAGGGAAAATGCATGCCTAGAAATGTGATTTTCCAGTTGCTGATTCCCTGGGAATGTGTTACCAGTTCTCCCTATTCCCTGCTGGAGGGGTTCTGATGCCAAGGCATCCCCCTCCATGCCCAGCCACCTTTGCCAGCTGATTTTATTGTTTTGGGGGGCAGGAAAACAAGAGAGAAGGGCTGGAAAATTCGATTCGTTACAATTTCCCCTCTCTGCCACAGCTTGTCACTGAAGTTTGTAGTTTAAATCATAGAATTGTTTAGGTTGGAGAAGATCTTTAAGATCAGCAAATGCAACTTAAAGTTCCCAGTCCACCACTAAACCACATCCCCAAGTGCCACATCCACATGGCTTTTAAATCCCTCTGGGGATGGGGACTCCACCACTGTCCTGGGCAGCTGGGCCAGGGCTGGGAAACCCTTTCAGGGAAGAAATTTTTCTCAGAATCCAACCTGAACCTCCCCTGGGGCAACTTGAGGCCGGTTTCCTCTCCTCCTATTCCTTGGTACTTGGGAGCAGAGCCTGACTCCAGCCTGGTTCCCCCCTCCTGGCAGGGAGTTGGAGAGAGGGAGAAGGTTCCTCCTGAGCCTCCTTTTCTCCAGGCTGAGCCCCTCCAGCTCCCTCAGCTGCTTCTGGTGCTCCAGACCCTTCCCAGCTCCATTCCCTTCCCTGGACAAGCTCCAGCCCCTCATTGTCCTTCTTGTTATGAAAATGACTCCAGAATTTGGATTTGAGTTGGATTTGAGTTGGATTTCAGTGTCTGATCCCTGCCCTGGTCCTGCTGGCCACACCATTCCTGATCTAAGATGATAGAATGGTTTAATAATGATTTAAACTTTCTGGTGATGAAACTTCCCACAGGCACACACAGAGCCTCAGGGAGCACCCAAAAAACCCCAAGATTTGAGGGAATGTGGGTCTGTGTGGATACAGGATAGGAGCAAAGGGGACCTTAAATCAATTCAGCTTGTGGGAGGTTGATTTGGAGGCACCTCTGTCTTGCCCCTGCTTTGATGTGCTGGCCACTGCTCTTGCCAAAATGAGCGAGTTCCCACAACCAGGAACAGATCCCACGAATCCCAGAGTCTTCCTCGACCGTTTAAAATGTTCTGTCCCAATGGTGACCCGAATTCTGGGTCTCTTACCTCATCTCCAGCCCATCATCCTCTTTCTGACACCGCTTCCTAATTATTTACCTCATCTGCCAGTGTTCTGGGACGATCTGTCCCCTTCTTTCTTACCATCCCCCCCCTTCCCCCTCCCATTTCCGATCCAGTTTGTGGTGAATCCACCTGAAAGTCACAGGAGTTTCTTAGGAACGAGCCGAGTGACGCTGTTCCCGGCTCCGGGAGGGCTGTGACTGTTCCCAACTCCTGCAAATCAAAGCAATTGGAGAAACAGAGGTGAGTAATGCAGCACCATCCCCGGGGACACGTGCAGGGAGAGAACACACAAACAAGCCGGGAACGCAGGGAACACAGAGTGCTTCCATGGGGAAGTTTGGGGAGGGAAAGGGAGGGAAGGTTTGGGAAGGTTTGGGAAGGTTTGGGAAGGGGAAGAGCGGTTTGGGGAGGGAAGGGAAGGGAAGGGAAGGGAAGGGAAGGGAAGGGAAGG